CCCCCCCCCATTGCCTATGTCCCCCCCCCCCCCAACTTACCTGGAGGGAGCTGTTCTCCACCACTGCCTGGCTGCTACATTCATGTGTGCACACACACATAGGCGTGGCAACCCCCCCCCCCAAGCAGCCCCTTGCAGGCTGAAATTTTGCCAGACTGCAAGGGGAAATCCACCGTTTCCCACATTTTTCTCCTTTAAAGGAGAAAAATCCACATTTTTCTGTGACAAATGAAAATCCCAGATTCCTGGTCATGAGTTAAGAATTGCTGATATTACAGAACACTCACATTGCAAAAAAGGTGATATGTACAAACTGAAAATGTACATACCATAAGTTTATATGAAAATTTGAGTAATTAAATACATACTTGTCTACTTGTCCTGCATTGTGATTGTTCTCTGCTCTCATCCGGGTCAATGCAGCAGCAGCTTCATCCAACGCACAGCTGACAGATGATGTCAGTCTTCGGAGCACCTCAGGATCTGCGAAGGCTTTACCATCGGCAGTGGATAATTTACCAATTCCTTCAGTGTATGTTCGTTCATCAATCAGGTTAGTATGAAAGCCACACAAAAAAAAATGCAAAAACACTATTTTAAATTTCAGCCACGTGCACTATTAGTTAAAAATAATTTGCAAACATGCTGGAAAAATTGCATATAATTAAAGTTACCAGTTAACATCTGTCTTTCTCTGATCTGAAAGTGTAATTATAGCACAGTAGTAAAATTACTTTTATTTTTTAAGTTGACTATTTCATTATGCCCCCAGTTTCAGGCTTTCAGCTTTTTGGAGGGGAAAAAAGACTTTCTAGGACTGAGAACAAGCACAGGACCAAGCCCAAAGGCAAATCTTTGGGAAACTTTTATGTAATTCCATGCAACTGTTGAGGTTCTTCAATATGAAGATTTTTTTCACTCCAAATTTTCAAATGCTCCTCTCCTATAAATAACTCCAGAAGTAACAAATATAAAATGTAAGCACTTTACTTTGGAATTAGTTCTCAGTACAAATAAATGTAACATGTTTGAAAACATTTAATTTATAGTAAATTACTGGAAAAATCGAGCTCTTAAGTAGAAAGGTCCAAATACAGGCACAATTTAGATATAAAGGTGTTCATCTAACCACAGTACAGTTTTTATCCTCAGAAAATTTACCTCATTCATCACAATGCCACTTACATACCAACTATGTATATCTTTTCATTACTGATGAAAGATTCTACTAAAATTGACTTATATGCTTACCCAATACAACTCATTTTACCAAAGGATATATACATGACTAAAATCCTATCTATTGAACAGGGAGTCTCAAAAATGTATATACATTTTAGGTTTGAAGAATACAAATATCATGATTGACAGTATTGATTCCAGTTTCTTTAAAGGAAAGAAACATAACTTACACAAAATTGCCACTGTAGATATTCAAAGTGCCCACCTTGGAGATCCATAGCAGCAGAGTGGTACATGTATGTACAGTTTTTAAGACATCCTGAACATCTGCAAACACCCTAGCACAGTTGTCCCTGCAGTGTTCATAAGGCCTAATCTACAACTAGTCAAGCATCAGGAAACAGTTTCCAGTATCATGCACAATTACTTTTACTGTAATTCAGTATCTCATGTTTACTCACAACGAACTACTTTTGCTACTGCTGAATCAGTGACTTTTTAAACTATTCAACAGGCTGAAGTACGACTGATCTAGAAAAATAAAATCCTGAGAAAATTATTCTTCATAATCTCACGTTTTTAATATTTGGAATGCACACTTCTTCCTACTTTTGAAATTCCTCTTTTTTGTTTTCTCCAGCTCATAACTATTAAGCATCTAAAGATTGTAACCATATTTTAAATATAGTTTCTAGCTTTTTTCAGAGATTCATACACTAGACTAGAGGCACAGGAAACTTATTAGGGCATCAAATTCTTCTTTTCACCAATGAAGAAACCTAGAGTTTGCAAAACACTCCAACCTGAAAACAATTTAGGATAGAATACCCTAGACCAAGAGTCAAACAAATAACCTAATTCAAATGAAAAATATACATTTTGCAATGACACTACGCTGCTGTTGAAAATTTATAAACCTAAGGTTCTATATATTTGGCTCCAAAATTCTTGATCGATCACTGTCCAAAAACAGTAGTGAAGAACTAATCAGATTCATGTGCAGGCAAGCCAATGTTTCAAGGAAAGCAGCAGCTGCCTTATCAGATAGCAAAATGATTTATTCTTCCAATATGGGAATTTTCAGTGCCTGTAATATACAGATGCCATGCCTAGCAAACGTATGCTCTATTACCCATTCTACTTAGAAGAAAGACCAGCTCTAAGTCATGCTGCAGGAGACTGTGTTATCCCAACCCAAAGAGTCACTCTGATCTCTGGATTCACTAAATAATCAGAACAGGCTGTCCGAGTGCAGTCAGAGGGACAGCTTTAAAGAAGCTCAAGTGCTGAGGACACCTATTCAGACTGTTGTTTTGTTTTATACGAAATGGCAACAACTTTGCTATGACAAGTTCAAGCCAGACTATTTTGCATTTAGACCAGGAGTTCAACATCCATTTTCTCCCTGAAAAAAATGGATTTATTATCCTTTCAGAGAAACACCTGCATTTTTTGACATTTCAACAAACTTACCAGACTGAAATGAGGTTAACAAATTAGTTTTACCATCCATACTTTAAGTTCCATGATTGCAAGCTCATCTAAATGACCAGCAATGGAACATCCAGTTTCTACAAACTATGAGTTTAGGGATCTCTTTGGGATCACATAAATATTCTTTTGTTTACAAACAAATATTAGCTTTATTACTTATAACTGAACCTTATATTCCACTATTTGGAACCAGAATATTTGATCAATGATTTCCATTTTCCAATGCAGAGTACAAAAAATCTTAAGTAAAAGCTTATAATTACAAACTTTATTCACCCAGTTAAGTTTTCTGCATTCAAAATTGGTAATTTTTCTGGAAAAGGAGAAACCTATTTTGCTAGACCAAAGTCATTCATATTGCAGTTAAAATGCTGAAATTTAACCAACTACTGCTTTGCTGAAGGCCATGAACTTCTTTCCTGAAGAAAAGAAAGGAAAACTCCTTTCTTGAAAGAAGTTGACAGCACTCACTGGAATACGAGAAGACAATATTATCTAGAACTGCACAAAAGTGAGAGGTGATGGGAGAAAAAGAGCCAGGTCACGCTGAGAATTCTGGAAGAGTCAGATGCTGGCAAGATGTCATCTGTATTGGAGCAGAGCTATGGTTATGTAGGTAGGTAGACTTGGTGTGCAGCGACTGTTTTATTGGCAAGGTTTATATCTGCATAGACAAAGTGAGGATATGTACTGCTAGAGGTCTTATTTCATTTCTGCATTCTTAGGTTATTCATAGAATAGTCTTTTAAAAAATATATAATACTTATATAAATTAATATTTTTACTAGTGCAATCTAAACCACTAAGCCAAATTCAGCAAGGCTGGCTCTGCCTGCTAAATCAATTACAGCGGGGTATCAAAGATTTCTCCCACATAAACCCATCATCCAGCCCCCAGCACTAGCCCTAGGTCTGAGTCAACTCACATGCGCTGGCCTGGCCTCAAGGGTAAGGCCTGGGACATGCACCACATGCAATGCCCCTTTTCATACTCACCCCTGCTGGTCCAGGACGCACCCTGCACACAGAACCCACTCCCGCCAGTTTGGGTCCTGTACTGTAAGTGGCACCCACAGGCATCTCAAACCTGCTAAAGCAGGCACAACATGCGGTGTGCCTTGGACTAGCCAGGGGGCACCACGTGCGGTGTGGATCCTGGAACAGATGCCACACGTGGTGCAGTCCAGCCAGAATGGGCACATCACACAGTGTCCACTTCAGCTAGTTTAGGACCTGTGCAACATATGACATCCACCTCAGCCAGACTGAACTGCACATGGTGCTCATTCCAGCTGCTCTGGTATTTGCACCACATGCAGCACCCAACCCAGGCAATCTGCGACACACACACTGCATACAACACCGACTCCAGCGAGTCCTGGACTAACTGGAACAGGCACAGCATGTGGTGAACTTCCTGGAGCAGACACAACAGATGTCATGTGTGGTGGCTCAGGCACAGGAGTGAGGGGAGTGGGAAATGGTCCATGGATCCAATTCAGCCTGTGACCTGGTCTTTTACCACTCATCTGAGCCACAGAGCCAAATGAGTTTGATACCCCTGCATTACACTGAACATAGGCTATATTACAATAACTTTTTCCTTCTCTGCTAATTCATTGTCTTTGCATGACTCCATAGAACTGATGCTTTCAGATTTATCAAGACAGGTGAAGATTACTTCTAGAAATGAAGATCTAGTAAGAAGATTAAAAATAAAAGGCTAGGGCCTCAAGAGAAGAGTGGAAGGTAACACATCGACAAGTCTTAGTTTTATTTGGGGGGGTGGTGCGAAATTCAATCTTAGTACGTACCTTTCAGATACCCCACTCTATATAAATAAGCATTAGTTTTCCTTTTTTCACAGAGTACGATAAATGTAGCGCCTCCAATAAGTTAGGGATGTAAAATACTGATTAAATAAATATCTGTTTAACCTATTATAATGACAACAGGTTAAATGATTAATTGGTTGGGTGCAGGGATAGGAACAGGTGCAGCAGCACTGGGCTCCAGCCCATGGCTCTGAAGTTGCAGGGAGGGGTGGGTGCTCAGCTTGCCCTGCCCCACTCTCTCATGGGAGGAGGGGCTGCACCCATCTGCCCAGAGCAGCATGGGGAGTCAGGAGCCAAAGCAGCCCTGCCAGGCAGGCAGCAAAGCCCAGGAAGCCCCAGGGGGCAGCAGCCAGCATGGGGCTGCAGCCACCCACGCATGGCTTCCTGGGGCCAGCTGCAGCAGCACAGGGGGAGAGGAGGGAACTGCCTGCCTGGCAGGGCTGTACTGCCTGCCCCTCCCCACACCTCCTGTGCTGCTGCAGGTGGCTGTTCCTGGGGAGCTGCAACTAGTGGCTGCAGCCCCTTGCTGGCTACTGCTGACTGGGTCTTCATGGGCTGTGCTGCACAACACAGCCAAGAGGCTGTAGCCACCAGCGCATGGCTTCCCCAGGACCAGCTGTGCCAATGCAGGAGGCAGTGGGGAGAGGAAGGCAGGCAGCACAGCCCTGCCAAGCAGGCAGCAGCCAACAAGGGGCTTTACCAGCCTGCTGCAGCTGCTGACACACTGCAAGGGAGGGAGCAAGCAACCCTTCCCCTCCTCCTTGCTCCTCTCCCTCCCTCCCTCCTGCCCTGCTGCCTTTCAGTTCCTGCTGGGGCACTGCAGGGCTTCCCTTCACCTTCTTCCCTCTTGGCCTGTGCTTAAACTAAATCATTATTTGTAAGCTAGAGCCAGTTATCACTGAGCTGATCCATTAAACAACTCAATTGTTCAGAACCCTGTAATAAACAGCCAAGTTTAACATAGCACAGTGACAGATTTTACAAATTCGGGATTTTTAAACGAGAGGCAACAAT